ACGTAGGTCTGTGTGCGGAGAAAATAGTATATACTGTGCTGGATATACAGTAACATTAAGAGATGTTGACTGTTGATCAGAGCTCATATGTAAGGCACACATTTCTTGTCCACCCGTAAGTGCCATATTCCCCCAGGGTTTGTGCTTAGTGCTGTGAGGGCTCAGGGGAAGCTTGCCCATCCTCAGAGGACTTTGTGGCCTACCAACATGAGTTCTTCAGATTGTTTAATAGGAAAGATCCTAGCCTGGAGTTGTGGAATGAAGGAGAAACAAAAGTGAGAGCTAGAAGAAGGGCTGAGACCAGGAGGTCAGTGGTCTGGAAGGAAAGTCTTCTCTCTACAAGAGATGGCTAGCTTGCCTTGTGCTTCCCATGTGACCCGATAGTGGGGGCTTTGCAGGAAGGTGTGAGGAATCCCAGGCCCTTGGACTTCCTAGAGTTCAGGAGTGGGAGTGGTGACTGGAGACCCAGAGGTGAACAGGAACCTAGAGATAAACTTCCAGAAGCAGGAGCTGGACCGGGCTTAGGAGGGACTTTTGGATTGTTCCCCAGCCTTTGAATAAAATCTAGTATTAAACATCTTTCTATAGTGAGAAAGCCTTCTTATCTGTAATCCTTAGACCACTAGGAGGCTCACAGGGTCCTGAACCCCCTGAAGTAATGTCCACAGTGTTTTTTTCTGAGTGGAATGTGCATTTTCCTAAGGTTAAAGCTGTTTTTTTAGGAAGAGGGAGGTCCATCTGCCACTGTCAGCTTGCTGGTTTATCCCCCTCCCGTCTCCTGTCTCGGTTCCTGAGAGGTGGTTTGCTGGTCTTTATCAGGGCTGCCACTCAGGGTCAGAACATCTGGGTCAGGCACATACTCCTTCTGAGCCCTGTTTGAGGCCTTGTTAAAGTGATCTGCCCCTACCCAGGTTCCACCTGCCACAGGTGAGATGAGGCTTTATGACAGCCAAGAGCTGGAGCAGTGTCCGCACCCTTCCCTCTTGCCAGCTGTTACCCAGTAAAACACCTTGGGGAGGGTGGGGCAGCCCACTTCCGGGGAGAGCGGGGGAGGGTAGAAGGAAGTTGATCTAAACCCGCCTCTTTCTCTTTCTCTCTTTCTCGCTTTCTCTCTTCCCTTCCCTTTTCTGCCTTGCTCCCCTCCTGCCCCTTCCTCCCACCTTGCTCCTGGGTAGTGTCCTGGAACCGCACACCCTTCCTGACCACCAGGCCCTGGCTTCCCTGGCCCTCGAGAAACTGTGGGGCTTTGTCCCTGTTGCTCTCCTTGCCAAACCCAGTCTCTCTTCTGCTAGTGGTAGTTTCGGTTGCAACATAGTCCAGGTTCCCAGGCAGGAACCGCTTGGCCTGGCTGCTTCGCTACTTTTCACTGAGGAGGTGGAAGGTGTCGCCTGCTCCGGCTGCATAAGGGTGGCTGGCTGAGGTGCGGCCCCCGCCCTGGGCCTGGCTCTTCCCCGTCTCTGTACTTTGCCCTCACTGCCCGACAGGTTCTGCTGTGGGCTCTGCTGAATGGAAGTCGCTGGTAGTCCTTGTCCCTTTCTCCAGCCGGGTATGTTGTCCCCTTCCTTACTCCAGGAGTACCCTCTCCTCCCTTCCACCTCAAACGTGGGATCTTTAAAGAGTTGCTAAACAGAGCCAGGCATTAGCACAGCGTGTTAAATTCTTGAGAAGGGTGTCGAGACGTGGCTGAGGCATTGACTAAGAGGGGATGAGGGACAGATACTCAGAGTAGACCCTCCTGGGCTCAAGTCAGCAGGCTTAGCAAGCAGGAGGATATGTGTGTGTGGGGGGTGGCAGGGGTGAGCAAAGAGGAGCTTTGCTACTGTGGGGGGAAGCCTGGGATCCGGGGCTAGTGCCAGATGGACACTTTCTTCTCCCCACTCCACAGTGCCTACTTACTCTGCCCCTGGCCAGGGTGTATCTTCCTCTTACCCTTTCCAAATCAGCCCCTTCTCAGGCGGGGGAAGCCTCAGGACACTTGAGGCTAGCCCTGAATGCAGAGCCCCAAAGCGGGAACTTCTCTAGGGGAGAACTATTGGTAGGAGCCTCCAGCGTTAGGGCAGGGGGCCCTGCCTACCTGAGTCAGCACCGGGCCTCTGAGGGTGGAGGCTGTCTTCCGGGCGAGCCTGGCAACATGCCTAGGCCAAGTTCTGAGATCCCTGGCAGACCCAGTCGATATGAAACTTTACTTTTTTTTTATCCTCCATGTCCTGTCTTCTCTCCTCCTCTTGATCCTGGAAAGCTGTTTTGGCCTTACTTCTGAATCAGGCCTCCTTGGTAACCTGCTTGGTCTGCCATTTGGTTTCAAATACTGCCTTGCAAGTGTCTGCTGTGTCCTATCTGAGGGCTGCTTAAGAGCCATGGGGGCTACTTTCAGCGGATTTCCTCAGTCCTTTGGGGCCTACCTGGGATATGATGTAGGCCAGAGCTTTGGGAATGCTGGTGTCCCACATCTTAACCGTGAGCAGGGAGGATGGAGGTGGAGGGGAGGGCATGGCTCTCACTAGGTCCAGTTAGCCCAGCAGGGCGGGCTGGTTTACAGCTTACCACCTAACTGTTGGTGAAACCCAGGGCCAAGCTGGATGGGCCTGGCCAGAACCATGGAAAGAAAATTCTCTCCCTGATGGCCATTCTTCTTACCTCCCCTTCATCCTTGAGGGAAGCAGTCAAATGAGGAAGTTGACTCACATGGGCCTTGACCCAAGAAGCATTTTCTACTGGGGATTTTCTCCTTTCCATATTCTCTTTTTCTGCTTCCTCACAGTGGCTCTCCTCCTTGCCCTGTCCTACCTCCCTAGGGTGGGAAGCATCTGACAGGATAGATGGGGCCAACAGGTGGGGATAGGGAGGGACTGAGTGGTTTGAGTCTTGAGAGTTGAGTGGTTCAGTCCTAGAAAGGCAATTAGTGACCCTGGAGCAAAAGATCAAAGATCAAATGGCAGTTCTTACTGATTCTCAGGGTCATGAACAAGCAGAGGACAGGGTTCTTTCACTGTCCTGGGTATCCTGCTTGAGACGAGCCCTTCACAGCTGTCCTGTCTGAGGTTCTGGCTACTTGTCTTCCCTCTTGTGAAGGCTAGAGGTGTTGGTGGCATTTCTTCAGGTCTGGAGAATGGTGGGTGCTCAGCTTGGACCCCTTCTCCATGCTGGAGAAGGCCCCAGCATCTCTTACTGGCCTCAGATAGACTACATCCTACTTAGTGGAACTGGAAATAGATGCAGGAGGTTGTTGATAACAAGGCTTTTGGCTCTTCATACTGTATTTAGGGACATAATGGTTGCTCTCTCATGGTCTCTCGTCTACCTGTGTGAAGTAGGGAATATTTATTGTTGCTTCACAACTAAAGAAACTAAAGCTAGCAAGTTGAGGAGCCAGGACTTGAACCTACCTCTGCTGGACTATAGAGCTCCTCAGCACCCACAAGACTACTGTCTGGCACAGATGTGTGGGAACGCCCAACATGGGTCATCTTTCAGGTGGTTCTCTTTCCCTCTTTGTGATAATCTCACCTCCTTCTTAAGATGATGCTGATAATAACAGAGTTAATGTGTGTTGAGTAAGTGGCAGATGAGGGTTTGTCTCTGGCATCTACACTGTAAATTTTAACCAGAAAGTAAGTGGCAGAGTCCCATTTGTGGTTGTTGGTTGTTAGTTGTTGATGCCTTTAAAGTTTAGCATGCAGCCAAGCCAGGTGGGGAGTGCTGTCCTACCGTCCCACACAGACCAGCCCCTGGGAACCCAAGATGGATGAGCAGAGCAGAGCTCAGAATGGACATGGGATTCCCAGATTTGGCTTCAGAGGGGCAGAGGGCCAAACCTGCAGGTAGACACTAATTCCCTATTTTGGATTTTGAGGACTTGGAGACTGTCAAACTCTTGCTGCCTTTGGCTTGTATCCTCAGAGAAGAGAGTAGTGATAAGAAACTTAGAAGGTGAATTAGAGGTTGCTAAGGAAACTTTCCCACCTATCTTCCTCTCGTGGGAGTTGGGGCAAAAGGAAAGTTTACCCTGCTCATGGTCCCTAGGCAGGCTGGCAGGGTGGGAGGCAGTTTGGAGCAGTGCTTCAGGAGGGGGCTGGGAGGGGGCTGAGAAGAAGTGTGAAGAAGGGTCCTTAGCCCAGGAAGCCAGGCATTCAGGACCCTGCTGGGTGGGGCTCAGACTGCCCTTTGGGAGACTGAGCCAATCAGGTACTGGCAGGGCCTAGAAATACTCTTCTCTCTAAGGGGTGTGAACGCTAGAGTTGCTTTGGGAGGGAAAAAAGCCTGTATTCAAAAATCTACTTGTGGCTCGGCGCCTATAGCTCAACCGGCTAAGGCGCCAGCCACGTACACCTAAGGTGGCGGGTTCGAATCCCCAGCCCGGACCCGCCAAACAACAATGAAGGCAGCAACCAGAAAAAAGCCGGGCGTTGTGGCGGGCGTCTGTGGTCCCAGCTACTTGGGAGGCGGAGGCAGGAGACTCGCTTGAGCCCAGGAGTTGGAGGTTGCTGTGAGCTGTAATGCCACGGCACTCTACCCAGGGGGACAGCTTGAGGCTCTGTCTCAAAAAAAAAAAAAAAAAATCTACTTGTGTAGCAAATGCTGTTTGAGGACTAGCCAGGCTTAGGTGAGCTGCAGAGCGTGTGAACAGGTCCAGAGAACTCTGTGGGCTGCAGTGAGCAGACAGTAAGGGCTGGGGACTTCATGGAGAAGTGGAGGTTGGTAAGGATATGTAGAAGAGAGAACATTCCCTATAGTGCCAAGGAGGTCAAAGGGACTTTTCTGGGATACCAGGAGCCTCCCTCTTCAGAGCCTACCAGTTGCATGGGCTCTTTGCTCCTCCACGGTTCAATCCCAGGTGCTTCTGCAATCTGAGCCAAACAACTCAAAAAAATAGCCGTAGCTACTCTGTCAAGGCCCTACATTGACACGGAAAAGTCAGAATACTGTATTTGTTGCTGCTGCTGCTGTTTCTGCCTAAAAACATCTAGTTAGGCAAGTAAGCATCTTACTTATTTGTTTATCTTTATATGGAACACTTCATGAATTTTGATGTTATCTTTGAGCAGGGGTCATGCCAATCTCTGTATGGGTATGGTTCCAATTTTAGTATATGTGCTGCTGAACTGAACACAAAAACAAGATTCTTGCCAAGGAACCCTGGACAGTTCCTTGGGTAGTAGCAAGCCATTCTTTTGCTCTGTGGTTTTGAGGGCTTCACTTACAGCCAGCAAGGGCCGTGAAAGGAAGGATTTGATTCACACTTCTCTCATCACCCTGCCACCCACCAAACTATCTCCTTGAAGTTTCCAAGACAGCTCTGGATGGTTCTGCAGGGAAACTCTGGCCACAGCTTTGACCCAGTATGCTGGAACAGTGTTGCCAGGAGTTCTTTGAGAGAGGCAAATTGGGGCTCTACAGAGGGATTAGAGTGGACCCTGTTGACAGTTTTATTGAGATCTAATTGGCCAAGTGTAGTGGCTCTAGTGGCTCACACCTGTAATCCTAGCACCCTAGGAGGCTGAGGCAGAAGGATCCCTTGAGCTTAGGAGTTCAAAACTAGCCTGAGCAAGAGCAAGACCCCGTCTCTAAATAAGTTAGGTATTGTGGCACCTATAGTCCTAGCTCCTTGGAGACTGAGGCAGGAAGATCATTTGAGCCCAGGAGTTTAAGTTTGCTGTGAGCTAGGCAGATGCCATGGCATTCTAGCCTGTACAACAGAGTGTGACTCTGTCTGAGGGAAAACAAAAAAGATAATTTACATACCCTACAATGTAATTCACCTATTTAAAGTGTAAATTGAGCCAGCACCCATAGTTTAGTGGGTAGGATGCCGGCTACATACACCCAGGCGGGTGAATTTGAACCCAGCCCAGGCCAACTAAAGCAAAAGTGACAACTGCAACCAAAAAAATAGCTGGGCATTGTGGCGGGCACCTGTAGTTCTGGCTATTTGGGAGGGTGAGGCAAGAGAATCACTTGAGCCCAAGGGTTTGAGGTTGCTATGAGCTGTGATGCCATGGCACTGTACTGAGGGTGACATAGTGAGACTCTGTCAAAAAAAAAAAAAAGAAAAGTATAAATTGAGTGGCTTTCAGTAAATTCACACAGTGTGTTATCACCATAATTAATTTCAGAAATTCTTAATTACCCTAGAAAGAAAACCCACATCCCTAAGTTGTCACCTCACATTCTCACCCCTGCCCACCCCTGCCCACCCTCAGCTGTAAGCAATTAAGTATTCTACTTCCTGTCTCTATAGATTGCCTGTTCTGGGCTTTCCATGTAAATGGAATCATATAATATGTGTGGTCCTTTGTGACTAGCTTTATTTACTGAACATAATATTTTCAAGGTTCTTCCGTGTCATAGCATATATCAGTACTTCACTTCTTTTTATTGCTGACTAATATTCCACTACATGGATGTGACACACTTGTTTATCCATTCATCAGCTGATGGATGTTTGAGTTGTTTCTGCTTTTTGGCTGTTCTGGGTCATGCTGCTGTGAACTTGACTATACAATTTTGTGTGTGGATGCATGTTTTATTTCTCTCGACTAGGTACCTAGGAGTGGAATTGCTGGCTCACATATTTTGTGTTTGGCACTTTGAGGAATGTACAAATCTTCATGTAGATGTACATCATTTTCTGGACAATTGTCATTTTATGGGGGATGAGCATCCCTAATATGAAAATCTGAAATCCCAAAATCCCCAATGCTTCAAAATCCAAAACTTTCTGAGTACCCACATTATGCCACAAATGGAAAATTCCACACCTGACCTCATGTGACAGGTTACAGTCAAAAGGCAGTCAAGACTTTTGGCGCCAGCCACATACACCTGAGCTGGCGGGTTTGAATCCAGCCTGGTCCCGCCAAACAACAATGACAGCTGCAACCAAAAATAGCTGGGCATTGGGGCGGCTGCCTGTGGTCCCAGCTACGTGGGAGGTGGAGGCAGGAGAATCACTTGAGCCCAGGAGCTGGAGGTTGCTGTGAGCTGTGATGCCACAGCACTCTACCCAGGGCAACAGCTTAAGACTCTGTCTCCAAAAAAAAAAAAAAAGACTTTTTGTTTCATGCACAAAATTATTTGAAATATTGTATAAAATTAGCTTCAGCCAGTAAAAAAAATTACCTTCAGAGTATTTGTGTAAGATGTATATGAAACAAATTAATTTCATGCTTAGATTTGGGTCCCATTCCTGAAATGGTTCATTATGTATATGCTGATATTCCAAAATCAGAAACACGTCTGGTCCCAAGCAATTCAGATAAGGGATACTCCACCCATATAATGTTTATATGCCTGCTCAGTGCCAGTTATTATAGATTCTGCTTCCTTACCTTTATTTGAGCTCTGGGGTATCTAAGGTGGGCAAAGCAGAGCAGATTGTTTCCTGGCTCAGACCTAGTCATTCAGTTAATCGTTGTACAAGTATTCATTCAGCAGCGGACATAAGCCAGTCTGTTTGTGTGCTGGGATGTGTCTGAATAAAGGTCACATGTATATTGGCATGGGCTTCCACTCTCACTGGGATAGACAACAAATAAATGTAAAGTGACAGATAATAAAGATTCATCTAAAATGATGGGTGGCGATAAGGGCTTTGAAGTGATCTCTGCAGGGGTTTTTTTTGCATTTATTTTGGCCAGGGCTGGATTTGAACCCGCCACCTCTGGCATATGGGGCCGGCACCCTACTCCTTTAAGCCACAGGCTCTGCCCTGAAGTGATTTCTGATCAACTTTGAGATGTAACTTTCTCACAGTTTGGATGGCAGCAGGGCCCTGGAGCTCCTACCTGTAGTAGTGGAGCTATTGCCTTGCTAATGGTGTGTTGGGGGAGCTATTGAGGGAACAGCTCCGTTCCTAGGCTCTGATTCCTGCAGGATCTTGGCACTGGACCTTATGCTATGTTCTTTTGGAATGAAGACTGGCTGTCATCTCATCCCTCTTCCTCTTCTGCCTTATGAATCTTTGCTTGTCTACCAGCCCCCTGGAGTCTACTGCACCCCCGGCCTCATACATTTTCTGCAGAGAACTGAGGGCAAGGGTTTAGAGGACTGGAGGGGCAGAATGTAAAGGTGTGTCTGTTTCTACCCTCCAGCCCACCTTGGGACATCTTGATTCCAAGCCCAGCAGTAAATCCAACATGCTTCGGGGCCGCAACTCAGCCACTTCTGCTGATGAGCAGCCCCATATTGGCAACTACCGGCTCCTCAAGACCATCGGCAAGGGTAACTTTGCCAAGGTGAAGTTGGCCCGGCACATTCTGACTGGGAAAGAGGTGAGCACTGGGCCTGGGAACACAACAAAACCTCCCAATCCTGTTGACACTCCAGCAGGTAGTGGTGGGACTACTATAGCAACCAGCCTCTTTTATAGCAGGCAGAGAGGAAAACTGAGGGGTGCCAAGAGCAGTGGGATGAAAAGGAGTAGGGAATACAAAGAAGGAACTGGATTCTAGTTCTGGGTTTAGCCTAGTCAAAGAGGTGATCTTGGACTTTTTTTGTCTCGTGTTTAGGTAGCTGTGAAGATCATTGACAAGACTCAACTGAACTCCTCCAGCCTTCAGAAAGTAAGCACACGGCACCTCCTCTCCCTTCTTATACTTCTCTTCAGTAGATCACTGACCCCATTTGGACCTTCTCTTGAATTCCTAGTTTAATGTCTCTGGCCATCCCACTGTCCCCACCACCCCCTCCCATGATCCTGCTACCTTCAGGGCTTTGGTTGGATTCCCTGGTATGACTCCTGGGTGAGCTTCCTGGCCATAGACACTGGCTCTTTTGAAATCTTTCTGCCCGTTCCCAGACGCTTGGTCTATCTGTCGGACCAACTTCCTGCATCTTATCTTCTAGCCTATGGCCAGCCCTGTGCCAAAACACGTCTGTAGCCATTATGAGAAACACATGCAGCTTCTTTGAGATCAGGAGTGATCCAGGGAAGTGGCTTTAGAAGTACAGGGGTAGGCTTGGTGCCTGTGGCTCAAGTGGCTAGGGCGCCAGCCACATACACCTAAGGTGGCAGGTTCAAATCCAGCCCGGGGCCCCCAAACAACAATGATGGCTGCAACCAAAAAATAGCCAGGTGTTGGGGCAGGCGCCTGTGGTCCCTGCTACTTGGGAGGCTGAGTCAGGAGACTCGCTTGAGCCCAGGAGTTGGAGGTTGCTGTGAGCTGTGATGCCATAGCTATCCCCAGGGGGACAGCTTGAGGCTCTGTCTCAAAAAAAAGAAAAAAGAAGAAAAAAAAAAGAAGTGCAGGGGTAAGAGGAGGCAGGAAAACTGCCCCTGGATTCTATGCTAGCTACATTTTGCAGCATGAGTATGGAAGACTGGAGTTTTTAGACGCTAAACCCCAGTTCTAAGTCTCTGACACGTATTCAGATTAAGGACAGTTTTCTTTTTTTGAGACAGAGTCTCACTATGTCACCCTCAATAGAGTGCTGTTGTGTCACAGCTCACAGCAACCTCAGACTCTTTGGCTTAAGTGATTCTCTTGCCTGAGCCTCCCAAGTAGCTGGGACTACAGGCGCCCGCCACAAGGCCTGGGTATTTTCTTGTTGCAGTTGTCATTGTTGTTTAGCTGGCCCAGGCCGGGTTCAAACCCTCTAGGCTCATTTTATGTGGCTAGCGCCATGACCAATGCGCTATAGGCGCTGAGCTAGATTAAGAACAGTTTACCTTCTCTACTTCTAGGCTCCTCTTGGCTAGAGGTCAAACTATTTGCACATAGTTTTTGTTAGATGCAGTAAAACTTTTCCTTTGCTCCTTGTTTAATAGTGAGAAACTAAGGTCTTACTTAGGAGGTAGGAGGAATACCCCAGGTGGGAATACAAGTTTCTCTATCCAAGAAACTATGAAAGGCTGGTGGGAGCAAGAACAGAAAGGCAAACTTTCATTTGCAGAAGGGGGACAGCTTGCCAGTGGCTGGTTATTTTAGAACTAGAAACTGCCTGCTTTCTTCAGCCTGGGCTCTAGCAGTTAGGCTGACAAAGGCCTAGTTCTTTACGTCTTGTGGCAGATTAAATTTTGTTTTCATAAGTACATTGTGGTGGTTGAGTTAGAAGGATGTGGCTCCATGCCGCCAGGGTCAGATACAGTGACATGGTGATGCTGGGACTAGA